TGGGCCAGGTGACCCGTCGATGGGAGCGGGTGAGCCTCGGAGCCTGCCTGCTTCCAGCCTGCCACTGGAGGGGACCGACTTGCAGACCTCTCCCGAAAGCACCTCTGCATGTAGCAGTTTCTGCATGGGATTGATTTAATTTTGTGCCTCCGTTACCAAACAAGAGGTTGTCTTCTGGCATGTGGGTGGCTGTAAGATCTGCATGCAGATTTTTAGCACACCCTTAGCATGGCATGTGTGTAGGGGGTGTTAAAATGTATCTGTGCAGGCAGTGGAGTGGGGAATGGGAAAAAAAAAATAAAATCTGATGTGCAGATGGAGAAAGATGAGCAAAAGGGTGGTGTGAGTCGAAGGAGAAGTTGGAGCTAGAGGGTGGGCAGCCCGGCAGGCAGCGGGCACAAGTAGAGGTTCTCCCTCTTGGCAATGCCACTGTGTCTCCTTGTACTATGGAAGCGAGGGGAGGATGCCAGTGTGGATTTTCTGGCAAATGTGGCCTCCCTGGTCTGTGGCGAGAGGGACAAACTGGGCTTCTGAGACCCTGGAATGAAGAGCCACGAGGCACTGAGCCTGGCTTGTGCGACCTCGGCAAGTTCTCGGTGCCAGAGGTGCAGAGTGTGGGAATCCATAGATGTGATGCTAGTTTAAATAAATGCCAAATGTTTCTCAGCGCGTCGTGAAGGATGCAGAGCCTAGAGTGTCTGTTGCATTGCTGTGACTGCAGAGCTGGCTGCTGTGGTATGGAGGGTCTGATTTTGCAGTGATCCTACAGTTTGAGGATCCAGCCTGGAAAGATTTGTCCAAGAGGACATTTGCTGTGGTTCAGACATGCCATGGTTGCTTTGGGAAGGGATTTAACAATCCGTCTCTTTTCCAAAAGTCCAGGTCTCTCACAAGAGACTTGTTGTCCGTCTCCACAGGTGGAAGAAATTCGAGGGTTCATCGATAAAATTTCGGAGAACGTGGAGGAAGTGAAGAGGAAGCACAGCGCCATTCTCGCTTCGCCCAACCCCGATGAGAGTGAGTGAGCCAGGACCTCCTGGTGTCCCTGCGGGCACGTGGCTGGGCTGGGCTGCTCGTGGGGTGGACGGAGTCGGGCAGAAGTCCTCTTGTGTTCAGGTGGCCGTGACTGGAAAGCCACAAGCTGCCGGGCTGGCTGATGGCCAGGGTGAGGGAGGGCTGGGACCTGCGTGGGGAGGAGATGGAGATTTGACGGCCGGCTTTCCCAGGAGGTTGTGCGTACACACGTTTTCTTGTGTCCAGCCCTGTGTCGGATCTACAGATATTTCTAATTGCTTGGAAGAGCCTGACCCTTCCTAAATTGTCTCGCGCTCCCCTCTCCTGGCAGCTGCTCCTCAGCTAAAATTTACTTGGCCAAGCCTGGAAGCGAGGGATTTTCTCAAGGGAATTCACGTGTCTCCGACTGTTGCTCAATCATCCTCCAGGCTCTTTCGGTCTGCGCTTGCACTGTAAGATTTTGCAGGGTTTCTATTTGGGCGTTCTCAGGGAAGAGCTGTCATTGCTTTGCTTTCTGGCTGCTGGGCGCATACAGCGTGCATCGGCACGGCGTCCGCTCGGGGCTGCAAAGGGCACTCGTGGCCTAAAAGCATAATAATCTATTTAAAAGTCTGAGATGCAGGGAACAAGATCCGGTGACATTGCTGTGACTTCCAGAAGTATCCAGGACATAGGGAGTGCTTCTGGTTTGGTTTACAGGGTTACTTTGCCTTGCCATTGTTAGAAAATTCTGTTTCTAGTGCCAAAAACTGTTTGGGCAGCAAAAGGGCCCACACCTTGGTTAGAAATTAGTACTTTGTAATATTTTGTAATACTGTGCAGACCCTGGTCAAAATCTCTCACAGTCTTTCCCATAAGCCCCCTTTAAGTACTGAGTGGCTGCAGGGAGGTCTCCTCGGAGCTGTTTCTCCTCCAGGCTGAGCGACCCCAACTCTCAGCCTTTCTCCATAACAGAGATGTCCCAGCCCTTGGATCATTTTGGTGGCCTCCTCTGGACCTGCTCTACCAGGTCCTTGTCTGTCTTGTGCTGGGGACCCCAGAGCTGGACACAGTGCTCCAGGGGGGTCTGAGGGGAGGGGAACCATCCCCTCCCTTGAGCTGCTGGCCACGCTGCTCTGGGGCTGCTGGCCCCGCTGCTGCTGCTGCTGCAGCCCACGAGACCCTCAGCTTGCTGGGATGCAAAGCCACATTGCTGGTTCATGTCCCATTTATCTCCCAATGGGGGGAGGATGGATGGATGGATGGATGGATGGGCAGACAGACAGACAGACGGACGGAAGGAAGGACAGCGTCTGCTGGCTGAATTGCTTGCTGCTTTTTCAGAGTCTCTTAGTAGAAGAGAGAGACTCCACAGGTACAATCCTGTTGGAATCTGGGTCTGAAATGACTGCGTTCTTCTGTGGATGCAAGCCCTGATGCTCTGCTGCGTGTGCTCTCACCTCTGCAGAAGCA